TTCACTTTCCCTGACTGCATTACCTCACAAATACCCACTCTTTGGTGTATAAATGTGCACACATTCTGTAGATTCAACTGGCTGCACATGACGCGAGTGTGCACATAATTTACTGCCTCAATGCACCAAACATTAATTTTCTCTTTTCTCAGACCTTCGTCTCATCCGATCTGAGATGAGTAACAGAACAATAAAAAAGAAAATGAAATTCTGTCCTCAGCATTTGAAATATTTTCTGATCTTAAACTAAGTTTGAACACGAAATTGCAGTTTTTGGGGATTGATTTTTGAACTTGAACTACTTTCTAAACATTAATGTCAGTTCATCAGTGTGTATATACTTTAAAGGCTCAAACTTGAAGAACTATAGCCAGTCCAGAACCAGTTCACCCGTCATTTCTTCCTGCTCATCTTACAGCTTTTTAAACTGACTGAATGTTTGTCTTCCCTTTTGCAGGCACAGAAATCATGGATAGAAAGAGCATTCAGCAAGAGAGAATGTGTTCATATCATAGTGAGTGCCAAAGACCCCCATAGGTGAGTACAAATGTATCAAAACACTTTAAAAAAATGTCATATATTATTTATTCTGAATTGGTTATTAATTATCAGGTAAACAGTTAATTCTTAGCTAATTTCCATTCTCCAGATCATAAAAACTTGAATCCTCATTAGATTTGAACTTTTCCAGGGTTGGTATTTTGTGTGAATAGAAGTAAATCTTTCTCATGCTTGCATATTTTACATAGTTTATTAAGACATGGCTGTTCGAAAATAACGTCACAATATTGTCTTTTTATTTTATACTAAACGTAGCACGATGCTAGGTTGCCACAGATTTGTTGGTCATGCTGAAATATCTGTAGCATGAATGTAGTAACTTTATCATACCCCATATATATCCCTCAACACCAAAAGTGAGGTAGCAGTGACTGAAAATGTTCCCTTGACTACAACAATGTTGTGGCATACTTGTAGCACTTTTAATAGACAACACCATTGTTTGTCTTTTGCATCCAACTTGTTAAAGCTGTATATTAATGCATATTCCTTTATGTTTTTGACATATGGACTGTGAAAACAGGAGGATGTTGTTTCATGAACATGTTGCGGTGTTGAACATATGTGATGCTCCTAAGAATACCAACAGTGTTTACGCCATGTTTTTCCAGTACCAGTTTCATACAGTGTTCAGTCACGTTACGTGTACCATTAAATGACCAAGACATTTCGCCCAGCACTCATTTCACAAACATGGAGAAACATGAAGAAACATTACAGAGACACTGATGTGCAGGTCGTTGTTGATTTGGTTTGGACTTTACTTGAAGACGAGGTGAATAAAAGACAAATGGTCCAACTGACATGTGCCAGAGTAGAGCAACCAAGAGCACCAGTGGAAGAAGAAGATCCACAAGATGTTGGGTGAGACCCTGGCTCGATGCTGACATCAGACTGAAGTCTGGGCATTACCACCGGCTCAAAGAAAGATTGTAACAAAAAGTTGAACGGCACAATATATACATGTATATATATATATGTCAAATATATATGTATATATATATATATGTCAAATATATATGTATATATATATATATATGTCAAATATATATATATATATATATATATATATATATATATATATATATAT